ACTTTTTAAAACAGTAAATTTACATGCCAGCACACAGCCAGCAAAGGGCACCATCTCCTGCTATGGAAGTATGATTTGTCAGTCAGTCTACTTTTAAAGATAGGCAGCTATTAAAACTAGGCTAAATCTTTCATGGTGACCAATAGCCTCACAGGCCTTCATTTTGGGTATCCTAATAGCCCCATCCTAAAGATCACGTATTTGCCAAGCAGAACTCATCAAGCTCATCATCAAAACAGGAGCCACATCCAAAGGATTTTAACTATTGAATAAGTCATCAAAGGTGCATGTGCTACTATAACCTCCTTTTGGGGATTTCATTTCCTAAGCCTTCTTAAAGCTATTTTAAAATGTCTAGTTGATAAATATAAAGGTACACTTCAATGTTTTCACATTTGGAGTGAAATTCAGACAAAATCCTATATCCAGAAATTGTTGACGCTACAGAACATCAGCTCCAGGTCTAGAGTAAAATTTGCATCTCCATCTTATCTCGGAATAGAACAAATATCAGGTAGAGCTACAACTCATTTCTCAGTTTGCTTCTGAGTGCTCAAAACCTTCTCCCTGAATTGCAATACCTGGCATCCAGTATATCCAAATTTCCAGCTTCCATGCAGGTCTGAGGCAGCAGACATGGGATAACCGATGCCACTGACACCAATGTCAGTGAAAGCCAAGTTGATGATGATCGCGTTGGTTGCTGTCCGAAGCTCTTTGTACTTAACAAAGATGCCTAACACAACAATGTTACTGAAAATGCTTATCACGCCTGTAAAAACAGAAAACAGGGAGACTTTGCAGAAAATCACACCAGCCAGTAGTACACATGGAGAAGAAAATGCAGCCTGTTGTAATATATTGTAATATTGCAGCCTTTCAGTGCCTGGGGGGGCTACAAGGAAGCTGGGGGGACTTTTTCCAAGGGCAGGGAGTGACAGGACAAGGGGTAACAGGTTTAAACAGAAAGAGGGAGATGGGACATCAGGAAGGAATTCTTCCCGGAGAGGGTGGGGAGGCAGTGGGACAGGTTGCCCAGAGAAGCTGTGGATGCCCCATCCCTGGGAGTGTCCAAGGCCAGGCTGGATGAGGCTTGGAGCAACCTGGTCTAGTGGAAGGTGTCCCTGCCCATGGCAGGGGGGTTGGAACTAGATGGGCTTTAAGGTCCCTTTCAACCCAAACCATTGTGGGATTCTATGATCCAAGTCCTAAACAAGTTTTATTTTCAGTCAAGCAGAATTTTGCAGAGAGGACAGACATCTGAAAAGGAGTCTTTTCCAATTAGGTAACTTCCACTTGGATTTAGTGAGGGCCAAATGTGTTCTGCCACGCAGGACTTCCGATGCAATGACAAGCACAGCAGAAACTCAAAAGCATCTAGGATTACAGTTCAAACACTCCAGCCGTCGAATACAGTGCTGTCTTCCACGACAAAAAAAGAATGCAGGTGGGTGAATGGCAAAAAAAAAAAAAAGCAGGGCTTATGATCCACCCGATCGTGCAGAAAGCCCCTGCCACCACCTGAGGTCTTCCTTCCTCAGTGGAGTTTCCACCTCCAGATCCTCCTTTTCTCCTGCTACTCCTCCTGCCTAGCCAAATCCTACCACGTGACTCTTGGAATGCATTAACATGGTGTTCCCACAAAACAGGTTATCTTTTTGATGTGGTTTTATTCTCTGTAGGCTGTTACAGAGATATACACAGCAAACTCCCATCCTCTAAACTTTTACTAACCCACTATTAACACAAGATATTAATAAACAGCTAATAAGTTAAAACTTCCTCCTTGCACCTCAGCAGAAAAGACGCCCGGCCCTTATCAATAAAATGGAGAATTCCAACATCTTCAAGCAAACTCAGCCACTAAAAAAACAACTTGTAAACAGTCACAAGTTTCTAAGTCGTTCATAGATTCCCTAGTCTGGCACAGCTGACACAGTTATCACTGAGACAAATCGTAAATTTAAACACATTTGTATGGCCTGGGCACTTTAAATTACAAGTGCACAGCGGAATGTTGTTCTGGGAAAGTCTAACAACACATTCTCCATGGAAACGCCCCTAAGAATTTTTATTTTTTTTTAATTTAAAAGCTTCACCTGGGAATCAAAACACTATAGTTTTTATCATCACAGAGCTGAGGCTGTAAGGAGCTTGAGTCATACTGAGTGTGCACTTCCAAAAGCAGACCCATCTTCTTTCCCAGCCACTGCCCACCCTGCTCCAGTCCCCTGGCAATCCATCACCTTCACTGATGGGATTTCTGCTCCTAGAGAGGTTCCACCAAAAACCTGACACACACAGCTTGGCTTTTGCTGACGTGCCTCTGCGGAGAGGGCAATAAGGTTTTTAAGTATTATAGAATGTTCTTCCACCTCTCAATGCTGCAACACAGAGTTAAAAATCTCTAACATCAGTTTGCAGTCAGACTATGAACATGCTGCAGTTCAGACCACCTCACATCAGCAGGGTGAGAAAACCTGACTGCCAGAACCAGTTTCAAGCACTTCAGCTCTACAGTCGAAGACTTCAGCAGGTATTTTTATAAAAATGTAACGGAGATGATACTAGGACAAGAGGAAATGGCCTCAAGTTGCACCAGGGAAGGTTTAGATTGGATACCAGGAAAAATTTCTTCTTGGAAAGGGCTGCCAGGATTGGAAGGGGCTGCCCAGGGAGGTGGCGGAGTCACCATCCCTGGAGGGATTTCCGAGACATGTGGATGCGGTGCTTCGGGGCATGGTTAGGGTAGACTTGGCAGTGTTAGGTTTACGGTTGGACCTGATGATCTCAATGGTCTTTTCCAACCTAAACGATTCCATGATTTCTTAGAGGGGAGTGCAAACCATGCCCAAGACTTTCAGTCAAGGGAAACATCAGCCGGGATGAACACACAGGACTCAAAAAGAACACGGATGCTGCCACGCTGCCTCTGAAACACCTTAGGGTTAGACAACTGTTCCTGTATTTCTTTAATTAAAGCTTGTAGTTCTGTGCAGATGAAGATAAAAAATTCATGACCTGGTCAAGAGCAGAAGAATGCCTTACCTTCCTTCTTCCCAGGGAAGCAAGGAAAACTGAAGGCAGACCAAACGCAAATACAGGCTCCAACAGAGCTACGCGAGACACACGGGTAGCAGCATCGAAACAATGGCCAGGTGCGTGTATAACACAGAATTTACTCTTCCAGTCAGCATTTTAAAACGATGCCAGAGCATTTCACCACTGGAAGCTGAAGGATATCCATGGGGCAGTATTGCTTCCTGCAGCCCGTGGATCCCTGTTGTCGTCGCTGACATTAATGCACCGACCTCTGTGGAGTGCAGCACTTAACAATTGCTTCCTTCTTAGCAAACAAGGCAATTATTTGCAAAAGGGAGCCTTCGAGCCTGTTAAGAAGCAGCACAACGAGGAGCGCTGTACCTGCACGTCACTCAGACGTCTGCTTATTAACACAGCTTACGTTTTCCAGATGTGAGATTTGCTGCGGTAAGGCATTTGCCAAGCAATCAGTCATGCTTTCAGGGGTGTTACAGACCTTACCGTCAAAAACATTCCTCATTAAGGAAGCAAAGTCCAAGCTAGAGGTGAAAGATTTACTAGACTTCCCCCATTATAAGAAAAAAAAGAAAAAACCCTCCACGCACAAAGTAATCCAACTTTTTTTTTTTAAAAAAAGACAACATTTAATTTCCATGTAAGATGTCAAAAGAAGAGCCGGGTTGATTCTGGCTAATCCCACAGATCACCTATGACAGCTTTGATCCCTAACATCACGTGGCCAAACTACCTGAAAAGACCACCTTGTCACATACAACCTAATCAACGTTAATTAAAATCTAAGTATCATGCATATTTGCAGCACCTAATAGACCCAGTGACCTGCAAACAGTGTGGTAGCACTGCAGAGCGTATCTAGCCCCCCAGTACCTGACCATCCTCCCTCTCTCCAGCTTCTTAACAAGTCTACTGATCCGTGTAGCGATTTTTCTAAAAACCTGAACCAAATCAGTGCCTTTGCATTCAAAAATACCCTCTTTACCAGGGCAGCCACTGGATACTCACCACTTCAAACTGATACGCTGAATAAAACGTGACCATCAGTGATGCTATTTCATATAAACCTAAAGTACATTACTATTTTAAAGCATTTTAAAAGCTAATTATACCATGGAAAATGTACGGTCCATGAATAAAGTATTTATAAACTGATTTAATTTTCCATAATAAAGGTATAGAAGGCTGATTTTTAAAGAGAGTAGGTTTCAGGTTTTGCTCAGATTAGTATTTCATTGCTATAGCACTCAGTGCTTCAGAAAAACAGTTGTGGTTGTAACAAAGTTTTCGAGGGGAAAAAAAAATTAAATTCAACAGTCATTCAAGTTTAGCCAAAGGCCACTGCAGTCACAGGGAGCGAACACGCTGTCAAGGCTTCCAGCGTGCTTCGGCTAACGTGTCATCAGTGAAAAATACAGCTGCAACCGGAGTCTCCTCTTCTCTGATTAATGACCAGCTCCCTCCCTCGAAGTCACATTCCAACCCTTCCCCTTACATCCCCCTAACAGACACCCACCTACATGCTCCGACTACACATATATTACTACGAACATGTGGCCCAGGAGAAATCTCAAGATAGCTTTGAGCACATCCCAGAAAAATGCAAGATGTGACAGCTATGCCCTATTTTTATCGCTTTTGCAAGCTGGCAGAAATTAATTCTCACTCTCTTCTATAATTACATACCAACAAAATATATTTTTC